TCTTGTACTCATTTGGGAAACATTTGGGCTATAGAGAGAGAAAAAGGGCAAGTCATGCCAAGAGGAAGTGGGAAGAGAAGAAACCTAATGAAAAAAATAATTTTATGATATCATTGAAAATTAATTTTCTATATTCCTTTTTTTCCCCTTTTTTTTATGTGAAAAACGAATATTTTTTAAGTCTAATTTTGCTTTTACATTTTACATTTAGGAAAAAGTTTATCATGTTGCAACCTACCAATTGATCATCTCGGCCTATCCAGAAGATACAAGTGTTCTAAATAGGAGTGGCAACGGGTCGTGTGTAGCTAAATCCCGACTTAGACCCAAATAGTATTTGGGTCCAAAATTTGGACCCCTATCTGAACCCATCGGTTTTTGGGTGTAGTCGGATCCATTGCCACCCTATGACTATAAGCCTTCTTTTTTCTTGTTTTCTTTTTTTTTTTTTTTATAGCATCATATACCCTATATGACTGTGAGCTGCTCTTTTTTTGACAATACCCAATGATTGTTAGCTGCTTTCTTTTCAACAATAATATTATAAATATGCCAATATTGTAACAGTATGAACACCTAACACTGCCTAAAAACACATGATTGCCCTCATATACCTTATAACTACGGGCATGAGTCGGGTACAGGTTAGGTATGGGTGGACCGGAACCCGGACCTGAATAATATTCGGACCCCATACCCAAACCTGAGGCCAAGCATACCTGTCAGGTCCCGGGTCTAATCGGGTGCATCACCGCCCCTAGTTCAAAAGCACCCAACCCTTCAGTACCAACCCTTCCTTCAATATTGTGCTTGGGACGTTTACGGACCTATTAGTTCCCTGACCTTTATGGACCTAGCAAGTCCATAAAGGTCCCAAGCACCCAAGTATTGTGCTTGGGAACCCTACAGACCATCGAAGTTCCGTAAACGATTATTTGATTGTTGAATATTGCTAGGGGCAATAGTGGATAAGCACTAGAATCATGCATAGTGAGTGGGGGTACCTGTTAACAGGCCTTTAAATGAGGCCTATGAACCTTTTAAATTAATGGGTTTGTAAGAGTTCTTTTACAGACAGGCCCTTTAAGTAACAGGTCGGCAAGAGTTCTTTTACAGACCGAACGGTCCTTTACAACCTGCCTTTACAGACCTAACAGATTCCTTTAATGTCGTTCCTCCCCTAGTTTGGACCTCAACAGGTCCATAAAGCCTTTACCCTTTACGGAACTATTAGGTAAACAGTTTGGGCATAAGAAAATTAGCAAGAAATAGTAATAAACAACAAAATCAGGTAAGTTCAAATTTTTTAAAAAATTAGTGGGTTAGTAGTTCCTAGATATGGTTAACTAGACATGGGGCCAGAAGCAGTCACTCTGTACTAACATGTAACCTGGCCGGTTCAACAGGCTAACCCGGCAAGCCACAGCTTCAAAGGCGGTCAAAAAAGTGTTAAAAAAATTCAAAAAAAATATAATTAACTATGAAAAATATATTTAAAGCATGATTAAACAAAGCACATCTGAAATTGAAAATTAATGAAAAACAAAATAATAGATTTGTGCCCAAGGATATTTTTGAAATTTTCCAAAACAGATGTAAAAATGTTAAAAAAAATATTAATAGCCAAAACAATTTCCAATCTTTGCAAAAATAATGAAAAAAAAATGCCATACAAATAAAATTCCTTATTTT